GGGGGGGCAGTACACATTTCCTTTTACTCTTGTTCCAGCCAGTCTTCACAGTTGTCCCCGTCTCTTTGACAGAGATATCCCACCAAGCGATGACACGCGCGGTCGTTCCATCCTTTTTCCTCAGGTTCTTGTCTTATCTCCAGGCAGTGCTCGTTTCCCCCAAAGCTATTCGGCTCGTTCTTGTTCCAGTCTTCCACGGACAGGGGTTTGTTGGACGTGACCCACTTCCAGATGCCCTCTTTGTCCTGGTCAGTGGCACCGAGCCAGAGACCTAACGAGTCCTTGGCTACAACCCGGTTCACGTATTCCAGGGAGACGTTGTCGTGGATCTCGGCCAGGAAGCCACCGAGAGACTCACATTTCTTTCTCGCGTCTGCCCACGAGGTTTCCTCTTCGAACACTTTGTAACAGTGGGTCATTGCTTCAAGCCTACTGGTCATCTCACAGCCGTTGCCGTGGGAGCAGAGCTTAAGCTTACTTCGCGCCGTGACGACATCTTCCACCTTGGACACTTTCTCCTCTAAGTTGTCGACCTTTTCCTTCACGGCAGACAACTGGCCTGTGATGTTGGTGGACACCTGGTTTAGAGCGGTCAGTACATCAGCCCTGTCCAAACTTGGCGCCTTGTTGACGTCATCTGACACTTTCTCCTCCAGCTTTTCCTGAACGCCTCTAATGTTGGCGGACACCTGGTTTATAGCCGTCAGTACATCAGCCCTGTCCGCACGCACAGTATGAACAATGACGACAACGGCAGCAGACGACACGAGAAGCGAGGTAACAATGACACAAATCCGTGTCAGAATGTACAGTTTCTTGTATTTGTGAATGGATTGTCCATCCTGTGGCGGAGGTGGAACATCGTCTCGTACACCCATCATGCCACGAAACAATAAAATTCCTCACAGCAGTCACCTGGCGTCAACAAGTAATAGATTATTTCCAGCGGTAACTGAATACTGAAATTTTGTTTTTAAAAGCCTTTTTCAAACACTCTCTCAAACTCGAGCGAGCAAGCGGTAACTGTGTAACTTGCACTGTAAGTCTGTACTTAGGTCCGTCAACTGAAGCTGGACTGTTTTTTATCTGCTCCTTCCCGCAGACAGGGAAGTGAAAACATGACACACACACACACACACACACACACACACACACACACACACACACACACA